TCTTGAAGTTTCGTTATGGGTAAGCATTAGCTTCACAACAGTGGATATTATGATCTAAAAAGAAAGGGACAGAATCCTCATTTCTTACGTTCATTATAGATTTCCTGATGTTCTAAGATGGAGAAAAAGGCAAGAGCTTTTCATTATGCAAGTGTGTCTTACTAGCGAGTGCTGAGGAGAAGTACACATTGCGAGTCTAGTTCACTGAAGAAATTTACAAAATTATAAACATTATATGACACTATCTACGTTACCGCTCTAGGAGAATGGAAAGCTCCTTGTCACCCCTTGACATTATCTCCTACACGTAAATGATAACAAGGACCACAATCAAGATGCGACTCCTACACTGGTCATCCCTGGCCAGGATGCCTCCTAAGGAGAGTAAGTGTAACTGTAAACACCACCGCCACCAGCGTGAGTTAGCGCAGCAGAAGCAACATGAGCAGGAGTTCAGGGCAGGAGACTTCAGGGCCCTGGCCGACACTGACTCTCAGCCACCTCTCAGCGACCCCCTCCTAGGTATATTCCTGTGGAAGTGATACTGCTTGTTGCAACCACCTCTTGACCACCTTTCTGCACCAGTAATCTAACCACTGACGGGCGAACACATGACACACACTCAAATTAACAGTAGGGAGAGCACTTACACCATCCTCATATTGTATACCAAAACATCATAATTTTACGTATCGAAACACCATGTGGCAGATCTTGCTTCTAAGTTATGTTGATGCTTCGTAAATTTTGATCTTTAATGTTGTTTGTCTGGTGTGGGGATTAGTGGATGTCATCATTTTGACCTGACCTCATGTTTTTAGGTCACCCTGTATATTTAAGCTCTCTCTGTCCATGTAATCCAGTTGCCTCTGAAGATGTCTTGAATAAAGACGAAAGCTAAAATTCGTTGTTTCCATTTTCCGTGTGATTTTATCAAGATATTATATATATATATATATATATATATATATATATATATATATATATATTTATATATATATATATATATATATATATATATATATATATATATATATATATATATATTTGTATATATATATATATATATATATATATATATATATATATATATATATATATATATATATATATATATATATATATATACATATATATATATATATATATATATATATATATATATATATATATATATATATATATATATATATATATATATATATATATACTATATATATATATATTAGAGCAGATTTGTGTGGACACTTGCTATATACTCCCAAAACATCATTACCAACATCATCCCTACCACCATTACTACTAAAACGGTATCTCTGAAAAAAAATCGACATAAGTGATTTTTCTAACCCTCCAGGAAGTCGTGCACCAGCGTCGTGAGTAGCCATTGTGTGTCAGGTACCGCCTCATGCAGCCCTCCCAGCTGACCGCTTCAGACAACACTGCTCAGAGCACTCACACAGTGGCCATCCACAGCTGACATTATTACATACGATAATATGCCCAGACAAGGGTTCTCATTGCTGACTTTACTATAGACGATAATATGCTCAGACAGGGGCCCTTATAGTTGACTTTATTACATACGATAATATGCCCAGACAAGGGTTCTCATTGCTGACTTTATTATAGACCAGTGGTTCTCAACCTTGTTTGCCCCATGCACCCCTTTCACCATATGTCAGAATGTCATTCCCCCCTCCTTTCCAAGATTGTCTGCCTCAAAAAGTGCATTCCAAATAATATGCATATAATACTGAAAATCCTTTATTTTTCCATATTAGTACATATACATTCCCCTGAAAACCTGAATTCCCCCTGAAATAATTCCCCTGGTTGAGAACCCCTGTTATAGACGATAATATGCTCAGACAGGAGCCCTTCACAGCTGACTTTGTTTATTAAAAATATACGATTATGCGCTTAGTCGGGATCGCCTCAAACCCAATGTTCTGTACACATACTGTCTTTCTGTTTCTCGTGTGTGTGTGTGTGTGGGGATGGGGTGAGAATTAAACCGTATACCACAACACAGACGAAGAAAAGGGGACCACCGTACGCACCACAGTCAACCCGCTACATAGATCCGTTAACGTCATGATAATTGTAGGGTACTCACAGTTACGCTACTGCACGCACCTTACAATAAACAACATATAGTGTTCTGTGCACCACTAACACACACACACGGGAGACGATAACTGATGCCAGGTGGTGATCTCATCTCACTTTACACGGTTTTTATCAGTGGAGTGGAGTTGATTGTGGCATACGCAGGCACATACATACATTGACCCACACTACCAAGCGTCCAATAGTTAAACCTCCCAAATGAAGGTAGAAGAAAAGTCTATTCACAACAGCCAAGAATATTGTCTCAGAAGCGTCCTGCAATTCAAATATTCCTTCTCCTTTAAAATATTCTTGATAATATTCGTTATTCGGTATACAAATACAAGCTATTGATAAACTAGATAAACCTCAATTAGTTATTGTTTCAGTCCCAGTGTAGTACTGGAGCCAAACTCGTGACCTTTGAGGTGAACAAGTCGACACCTGGCAGCTGGTTCATCCTCACACACACACACTACCTGGCAGCTGTCTCACCATTACACACTACCTGGCAGACGGTTCACCATTACAGTACCTGACAGCTGGTTCATCTTCATACAGTACCTGACAGCTGGTTCACCTTCACAGTACCTGACATGTGGCTCATCATCACACTACCTGACAGATGGTTCACCATCACACACTACCTGGCAGCTGGTTCACCATCACACTCATAACATTCTTGTATTTAATTTAGCGCCACCGATGTCACTCAGATATTAGGTTCAGTATGTATGTATGTATGTATGTACTGTATGTATGTATGTATATAATAATAATAATACTAATAATAATAATAATAATTAACGGTTTATTGAAAGAGCATGGCAGCCAGAAGGCTGAAAATATAGTTACATAAGGGGGAATGGGTCACTTGATTGACAAATAATATACAAATAACATAAGTGATACAAATATGATATATAATAACTAGTGGGGAGAAGGTAATACTACAGGGCATTTCAACATAGTAAATATGAATTCTTATGGAAATGTATGTTCATATTGTACAGTATGTGTGGTATTACATATATGTTATAATATTTAATGACTTACTGTATGTAAATGTGTTTAGTTATGCAAACAACGGATATATATATATATATATATATATATATATATATATATATATATATATATATATATATATATATATATATATATATATATATATATATATATATATATATATATATATATATATATATATATATATATATATTTATTTGAGGCAGACATTGATGTGTGTATTTCCTTTGAAATATATCAAAATCTATGAAACTGTTTCTATGAACTACACCAAACACGTTTTACTTGTCTTCATAACCCAAGCACTCAGACCGGGGCCCTCCTTAGAGTACTTCCTCAAGCGCCGAACACGAGCGGTGTTTATATGGGGTAATTAGAGTGTACAAATTCTTATTGTTTTTATAAAAATCTTATATATTACAGTAAACAAAAGTGTTAAGCTGTTGGAGATTATAACCCAATACTTACTAATGACGCACACAAAGGTGGTATTAGTAACACCTTATAATTATTTAAGTAATTAGTCACACCAAAGAGGGGAGGATACAGGAAGGAAGAATGGAAGGAGATAGAATAGGGCAAAGAGGCGGAAGTGACAGGAGTAGGAGCCAGGATGAAGAGTCAAAGGGAAGGGAAGGAGACAAGAGGGAAGAGAGAGAATGGTTGGGGAGTGATGTGGTCCAGTCACTCATAATAAGAGTGGCAGGTAACGGTAATAATAGGGACCGCTCACTCCTCTTTGGTCCATTTATTACTAATATCGGCATTTACTACCGTCATCACGGCTCTTTCATCAAATTACTTTATGGTTGGTTGTGTGAATGAGGGAGGGAGGGAGGGAGGGAGGGAGAGAGGGAGGAAGGGAGGGAGGGAGCAAGAGAGGGATTAGGGTTGTGTTAGGCGGAGGTGTGAGAGAAAGCGATTGAGATGTTATTGATACAGTGTAGATAAGAGATAGATGGGCAGACTAGGAAGGATACCGATTGATACACAGGGCCCGTGTGTGATATATGGAGGAGTCGATGCACACCTGACTCGTGGCTGTAATTACAGTACTAGTATCAGGTGAGGCGTCACATGGGTGTATTTTACACTGACGTCGTTGATGGTGTGTGAAGCAGATGTGTTTTCTTCATACACCTTGATAATGAAACAAGGTGTATCGCTTAAAATGTGTACTTTATCTAGTTTTTTTTACCCCCATTTTGTGACTTACAGTAAGTGGAAATTATATATTCCTATAAGAAACTTTTACACTTTTTTTTCAAGCTCAGTTTAACACAGAGTGACAAATTCTTCGTTACTCTTGATTATCTACGTGAAACATATACAGTAGTTAAGACCCCTTTAGATATCGGCCTATCTCAACTAGAGTTGGTTCTCTCTCTCTCTCTCTCTATCTCTCTCTCTCTATCTCTCTCTCTCTCTCTCTTTTAAGATTGTTTATCTTTCTACACTAAGGAATTTCCTCCAGGGTTGTCAGTTGATGTTTGTGTTGCATTGTTCACGTATGTGGTAAAACGTTTGGTACACACGTCGCCTCCCCGCCAGTGTGTACGCAGAGGGTCATTGTTCTGAGGAACTTACTCTAAGGACTGGTGTGTTTTCGATCTATTATCAGACCAAAAATTTCATATAATCACCATTATTTTTTCAATGATTAACTTTAACTTCCAAACTTCAAATTTCCTCGTCTTGGTCTTTTAACGTGTACAGATATCTTCTTAATAACGGTGTCGCCTTTATTTCAATCTCTAAAATTAACTTGAATATCTTGCTAACTTCTTCTAAACCCATAGAAGCTCTAACATGTAACAATAGCCAATAGGAATCTTGCTAACCTTCTACCTCTTTTACAGCGTACCCGGACCACCCAGAAAGGGACTCTCTTGACGGTCACCTGCCGGGGTCCTCCCACGGCACCGGTAACCCCCCGCCACCCCCCTCCCCGCCCACCCCACCAGCCGCCTCAACTAAGCCAGGTATCTCCTATGATGTTTGTGGAATTTGGAACGGTGGTGGTAGTAGTAACAGTAGTAGTCGTCGTACAATAATGGTTGTTGGATTTTCGGTTTTTGTTGTAATAGTTGCAATAGTTGTAGTAACATTAACCGCTAGTAGTAATAGTAAATGTATATATATAATAGTAGTAGTAGTATTAATGCTAAGTCGTAAAGTGGAGCTAGTAGTAGTAGTATAGAAAGCAACAGTGAATATAAGTAGAGGTAAAACACTAATCGAATAATAAAAAAGAGCAAAAAAAATCACCGTAGAAACTACATCATACAATTCCTACTGGATTACAGAAAAGCACAGACTCAAAATAACATAATCCTCAACTAATAAAAATTTATATAACCTATTTACCACTTATCTTTTGTACTATTATGATAATCACGATCTTAATATATTTCACAGATACCTATATTGCTCTCTCTAACTAATAAATTTTCTCAAACATACGCTCCGGAATATATGTAACCTAACCTAACCAAACCTAACCTAATAGTTCACAAGATGCCTACTCTTCCTCCAGTGGTATTTTTATTGTTGGTCACACTCGTAATAATGTTGCCACTTTTCTCCGTGGCAGGTAACGGTTTCACTAAAGGCCCTAATGCCAAGAACAAGAAACATAAGAAGCTGAAGAACGAGACTGATGAGCCGCCGGCCGCTGGTGATCTTCCGGAGAAAGAGAAGAAGAAGGACAAGCTCGAGAAGAACAAGGACAGAGACATGGAGGCGGGAGGAGGCTACAGGCCCAAGACGGAGCCTTAGTGAGTAAATCTGATGTTTCAGTCCTTTTTTCAATTTTTTTTGTGTTGAGGAATGTTAGTCAGGCACATCTGTCTTTGATATACAAGTATTTTCTCTTACCCGTTATTCTTAATGTACGCGGTGTGTATATATACATATTTGGCAGGTTAAGATTCGGTAGAGGATGAATGCGGAACTTTATATTGATATTTATAAAGGGACTCTGGAACTGCTGAATAAATACTTCAAATTTTGAGTGGACAATGTAGGACCTTTATCTGTCCATGTAATAAATTGAGAACGAACAATGAAATGGCGTCACGGGGGCCTGGGGAGAGGTGTGCCATCTCTTATTACCTAGTGTATGAAGAAAATACAATGATTATGATGGTCCAGTATACCGCTTGTGGTCCATGTAAAGGTCGACATAATAACAGGGCAATTTTAAGACCGTGATGCTCTTGTGTCGGCCGTGATGCTCTTGTGTCGGCCGTGATGCTCTTGTGTCGGCCGTGATGCTCTTGTGTCGGCAGCATTAGTCGCTTTAAACCTTGGTTTCTCGTCTTCCGTGTTTGTTGTTTGCAGTGAAGAGAAAGGGAATAATACGAGGCTGGTGTACCGTCACGCTCTGCCGACAGACGGTTAGCCACTTGTATGTTATTTTACGGGCGATGATTTTTTTATAACTGCATTAATTCATCTTAATTGTCTATCATATGATGTATTAGCATACGAGGAAGTATTACATTCCAGTTAGATAAATTACAAAGGAGGAACTTGAGGAATTTATATGATGACTCGTTCAGTTGCCAGTTATAATTTACCCGGGTAACACACACAGAAGTAACAATTGATTTATATACATGATAGAAATTTGATTCAGTGGTCAGAGGAATGACTTTCACCGTGATGTTATAGATGTAAAGTTTAAAGCCGAAGAAACGAAAGCACCTGCCAGAGCGTGGGGCTGTATCCTTTACTTTCACTGGGAGAACAGCGTATGGTGGGGTCTAGGCGAGGTAGCCACGATCTCCTCGACACATGTTTAAGGACAGACATTACACTCCTACCTATTAACTCTCGTTTATCTTCATACTTTTCGTCGACACACACACACAGGTTATAACACATACTGCTACTGATATTAATGTGGCCGTAGTAGTAGTAGTATATTTATTTTTTGAAGCTTTCTTTATAGTATATCTGATATTAAAACCTCCACTAGTTACCACTCTTACCACTGTTTCTCTGTAACGCATTTGTCAACAGTCACTTTGAAGTCATTAACAGAACCAAAGTTGAATTAATTTTCACAATGATGATGATTCACAACCTGGCTACCGTCCTCCTCAGTATTCTCTCACCATAATAGACTTTCCATCCTTCACGGGCTGGTTCCTGGTGCAGAAAGCGGGCGCGTGGCGGGTCTTGATAAACACAATGGTAGGTATGTTCTCAAGGTGTGAAAACATCGACCATTAAGAGATTTCCCCTTTGCTATGTGTTATAATGAGTGTAGTGATTGTATGGTGGGTGGTGACTGTTGGGTGTACATAAGATTGGTAGCTGTGTCGTGGATGTTATGTGTTTGCGATATAATGATGTATAGTGAATATGGTGCCTATCTAGTGAGTGTAAGTGGGATATTCTGAATGATGGATATGATGACTTAGAGTTTTATGTCTTTGGTGGATTAGTTAAATATAGTGGATGTATAGTGGATATGTAATACGTATGGTGGTTGTATTGTGGGGATGAAGTCAATATTGCAGGGAATACATTTAGTATGGTGGATGTATATTTACTATGGTTGGTGTATTGCAAAGAGAGAGAGCATTTGATCTTACGAGTCATCAAAATCCCACAAAGACGCAGACATAGCCGGCGGTGGTGGTCGTGACGGGCACACAGAGAGGCTCTTATAACCTCCTTCCAGTCAGTGTCGAGGGGAGGCATCGCCTGGGAAAACACTGTACCTCCGTTTATTGCCCTGGGTATAAAAAAGAGGGGGTAGTTCAATGCCTTGGGTATAAAGGGAAATATCTCTCTCTCTCTTTCTCTTTCTCTTTTGCGTTTTTCTCCTCTCCTCTATTCTCCTCTCTCCCTATTCTCCTCATCTCTGTCTCTTTCTGTTTCTCTCTTTTTCTTTTTTATCCTCTCTTCTATTCTCATCTGCTCTAGTTTTCTCACTTCTCCTCTCCTCTATTCTCCTCATCTCTCTCTCTCTCTCTCTCTCTCTCTCTCTCTCTCTCTCTCTCTCTCTCTCTCTCTCTCTCTCTCTCTCTTCTTATCGTCACCTTAACATTTTTAAGGACGATAAATAATTTAGTGTCATTCAGCCTTGTGCATCATGACTTGCTCTGAGGCCGTCAATACAGGAGATGACGTGGCGTGTGTAGCTATTTAATGATGCATTGTTGTGCACTTGAGCAAACGAGGAGCCGAGTGGGGTGTGGGAAGGGGGAGAACTGGGGGAGATGGTAGAGGGAACTGGGAAGATAGATGGTAGTAGTGTAGTGTGGGGAGGGGAAGGTGGGGGAACTGGGGAGATAGATGGTAGTAGTGGAGTGTGGGGAGGGTGAGGGCAGGGGGGGGGGATGCTGCCGGTGGAGGTGGTAACGGTGGTGTGGTCACAGGCAGACAGATGGTGACACAAGTTCTTCCTCCCACCTGCTGCTGCTGTTATTACTGCCGCGGGGTTCTTTGTCACCCCTACACCTCCCTACTTCCTTTCTTGCCTCCCTTACACCTCCCTACCCCCTTCTTACACCTTCCTACCCCCTCCTTACACCTCCCTACCCCCTCCTTACACCTCCCTACCCCCTCCTTACACCTCCCTACGCTCCTCCCTGCCTTCCATCTTCTTCACTTCCATCCCTGCTTATCTGCTTCTAGCTTATAGGTTCAAAAGAAGATGCTTCCCTTGATTGACCATGACCAACACCGCCTCGTCACCTCCGACTCAGGACAGGCGGCACTCGATGGGACACTTATTGACGTTTACTTAATGAACATTATTTGCCCGTGTCACTGGTCAATGTTCAGGTCTACGTAGTTGAAGTTCTTAAGCAAAAATGTTGGTTTCAGTTGTATGGTGTGACAGAAGTCTGTTTGAGCTAATGTCGGAATATTAACATAATCCCTCATGGTTCACATATACCACAATAAACTACGGATTTATTTATTGTCGTACGTGACTCTCTGGGTTGACTATATCAATTAATCTTTCATTCGTTACTCGAGCTCCACATGGCGGGTTAACAATTTTTCTCAGTCCTCGGTTGTGTAGGTAAGACTGATCATTAGGGATAGTGTGAATACAGTACACTAAGGTTAAGTTGGGTTAGGTTGGGTTGAGTGGAGTTGAATCGAATTGGGTTAAATTTGGTTAGGTTGGGTTGAGTGGAGATGAATCGAATTGGGTTAAGTTTGGTTAGGTTGGGTTGAATCGAATCGAGTCTGGTTAAATTAGGTTGAATTAATCCAAAATGAGTCATACATAGCAAAATCCTCTAATTATCATCTGGTGGTGAAAGTCACAACCACACACAAGTGATCAGCAGACAACTGACACATGAACAATTATCACGTCACAGGATGTTTATATCACTCTTCCTTTTATCTTGTGTAGTATTTCCCTTCAATCAGTTCTCTCTCTTTTTCTCTCTCTCTCTTCCTTCATCTTTCTCATGTTCCTGGACTCCCTTTCTTTCTAGTTGTCGGACTAGGTTGAAACTTGGCAGGCAGCAATTCGAAAAATCATTCAAGGGTGAAATAATTGGAGGCCCGTGAATTGGCGTCTGTGAGATGGCTTTACATTTTCAAACAAAAGGAGAGAGAGAGAGAGAGAGAGAGAGAGAGAGAGAGAGAGATTGGTTGATTTACCTGTTTTGGGTCTGTTGACTCCCCTGGTCGTCTGGAGTCATGAGGACGCTGCCAGGGTCTTATGTATCAACCATGTCTGGGGGAGAGACTTAACTTTCTTTAGTAGCCACACACACACACACACACACAGAACTTGGGTGTCACTAAGCCGTAACTCGCCCAAAGAGAGTGATGGTTCACACACGATGATAAGTGACTTGTTTAACATCCACATTCGTTCTGCCTCACGGAGTCGCTGTTCCCGCCACCAACCACATATTCGCATTGCAATTATTTGAGAGAAATTTGCAACGCACACAGGTGTCGACAGGGGCAGTGCACGTAATACTGTATATATTATAAAAGTGGTCAAGGTTGGGAGCACCCAAGCTTGCTTGTCATACAGTCCAGAGTTCGATCTCAACTCGACCATATAGCTGTAATATATATACTGTATGTCTTGCGTTTAAGGTATAATTGGTAAATAACGATGGTACAAAATTATAACTTTATACAATAATTACTATCCTTTCCATACTTTACATAACTCAATGTCGATATAGTTTGGTTGTAGTTGTTAACGATGTTTTTAATAAATCATCGCATATAAACTAATTTCCAATACATTATAGCAGTAAAAACAAAAAGTTATCCCGATTTGTCAAAACCGTCAGTTGTACCTTAAGGCTTATATACACGATTAACTCTAACAAAGCGTGACATAATACACCGGGTATATTACCTGATGACTCAGAGTAAGACATGCAGTACCTGCACCTGGGCTGGTGAGCTCAGCTGACCCCATGGGAAGTGCGACACACACAATAACCCTCTTTATTATACTTCATTCTGGAGCCACGTCATAATGACAATATTTTCCGAGCCACTGGTTGACGACGTCTGACCACTAACGTAGGTGACGCTCTGTACTAGCCCAGACGTTCTCAGCGCCTCCTAGTGTTAACCATCTTAATAATTTAACATTATTTCCTCTTCTCGGACCACAATCTTATGTTAGCCTTCGATTATATTCTGTTCATTGGGTTCATGGCTTCGTCAGTAGGTAAGAAGTGTTCAGTAGCAAGAACATTCCTCGGTGTATCGTGTGGTAAAGATATTGTTTTAGCGTGACTCGTGATGGGGAAACGCCAATCTGCTCCCCAGATGGCGTGAGACAGGGAGCGCTACCGGTCAAAATCATTGGGAATATTTTCCACGCTGCGCGCTCCTGCCGTTCACTCACTCTTCATGGGAGACCCACTGACAGCAGTGGCAGAGGCAGTATTTTCAGTGAGTGGTGCAGTGTGGTGGACGCGAGGCAGGCCGCGCTGGTGGCTCTGTGGTTTCTGCACCCAACACTATTAACACCACCTTCGCAACCACGCTCACCATCAGATCGATTGAAATATTTTCAAGTCGTCCAAAAGTGTAACAAGACTGGTTACTGTACCACTACTAAGGTCTTGCTCGGGAACACATCTGTGCATTTCTACAAACCGTTTACTAGTGCAGCAACAAGAGTGGAGAAAGGCTGTACTGGCTCCATTTTCCCCTTGACACACCTCGTCTCTACATCAATAATACTAGACTGGATTTCCAAATCGTCTTACTTCTCCACAGACATCCACCTTGCAATCCTCACAAGTCGTCAACCAACATGGGAATACATACAGTGTGAGCCACAGCACATGTTCCGTCACCTTCACCGTAACTTTAGAGTTACAATCGGAATAGTTAACGATATATCGGTCATTGAAGACATAGATACCACACACCTGAATTTCTTTGTTTCGTTTTCCGAGAAGCCCAGTGTTGTGGTCTAGTGGTGGTGAAGGTGGCAGCCGAGACTCGCCTGCATAAAACTTCCTATACAAAATTTGCACTAATATTGGATGCTCTTATATTGCTGTTAATAGTGAAGTGTTGAAGCGGTGTCACATGTATAGATTGAAGACGATACACTGACTGTAGTGATCAGTTTGTTGACCTTGTGTCTTTGGATATTGTGCTCAGACATCTAAGGCGAGATGTTTTGCAGGAAATAATTATATAAAAGAAGCTAATCTGTGTATGAAACTTTTTGAACAATTAAAAATAAGTGACTATTTATGCTTGGTCCAAACCATGAGGTCTTTGCCACAAAATGAGTTACTCCAATGGTTTTACTACTGAGTGAGTCCAGAACCATAGACGAAGTTTCTTTCATCCCCGCTAAGTGAGGCCGTGCATCCCCCCCTCCTCCCTTCCCTGTCAACAGTGGTCTTGTCACCACCACATCATGGCTACCAAGTTTTGCCCGGAGGCCTTTCGGGGCCTCAGTGTGTCGCAGCTGGGCAAAGTGTTGGCCCCTTCTGACCCCTACGATCTGTACAGCGAGTATGAGTCAGGGGCGCTCTACGTCTCCACCGAGGACCTGCGACTACTTGAGTGTGAAGCGAAGTGAGTGTTGTGTACCCAGGGGACACCTTCCCTTGTATGGTTACTGTCGTGTAGGGCAGGAGATCGTACTGGAATAGTTATGGTCGTTGGTTCTCTCATTTTTACCCCTAAAATAGTGTGAAGTGATTCAAGCCTTATGTGCAGTACCTAAACTGCGTAACAGTTAAGTGCCCACTACAGTAGAGGCTGAAAACTATAATATTAACAAAAAAAGTCATTAAATATTTTGTCAGTTCGAGTGTTGAGAATGATTCTTTTGTAGTGTTGAGTTAATGTGATGTGACGACTTGTTGATGATGTATATGCTGAAGGTGGTGATCCACTTGTTCTCTCCCACAACACAAATTTCTTGCAGAATTTATTCGTTGACTTTTCGCTCTCTACTCGGTGAGGATTCCTGCAGTGACACCGCCCAGGTTCAACCTTGCCTCTCTCACTCGTCCTCCGTCACACACACACACACACGCGAATCTTTTACATCTGCTTTACACCTTTCTGCCTCGTCCCTTTCACTCCATCTACTTCTCAAACTTAAACTTGTACTCTCTCCAAGTGTAAACTCTTGTTCGCTTCGTCATTGTCTGATCATCGGCCTGCGAGTGACCCACATACCGATCCCGATCAGATGTCTCTTCTTATATCCAACTTTTACAGTTATCTGAATAATATACACACAGGGGTCACGTCTAATTTCAGGTTGATGGCCGTTAGCTTCGTGCGGGCTGCTTGTCGTGGAGGAAGGAACAGGTTGACTGACTGGAGAGAGATCGGTGATTGAAGAAATTAGTGCTATTAGAATTGAATATGTTAACGGTCAGCCTCGTGCGGTTATGGGGGGGGGGTGGGTGACGCAACTTCAGAGGATTTACGTATTTTTAATTTTCAAGGTCTAGAATATAATGGACCGACTAAAACAGTAACAGAGGTTCTTAAAATCAGAGACTGTAGGAAAATAAACATTGAATTAAATTTAAACACTACGACAATATACTGTACATGAGGCAATAGGTAAAGTGTTATGAGTTACACCACATCAAATAACTACCTCACCTAGATCACATTGTTAGTAAAGATTCATTTGGATTCGTAAATTTACCAAACATTTTTAACGGAATCATTTGTGTCATTAATTTTTATTTTTTTTTGCTTTTTGTTTTTGCTCAAACTCCTCATTTTCCTTCAACAGAGCTTTAGAAGTTTAAAGAAAAGTTATGAGGTTTGGTGCGCCCACATTTATATCCCGGCCCACACAGTCAGTTTATACATTTGGTAACAACTAAGGTCTCCACATCAAGCAAAGTACAGTCATGATGATATTAGCTAATGTTAACAATGACTTGTTTAAATAAGTAAACCAGTGTAATGCAACATGTGACTCGGCGTTATGTTGTCTGTCGTGACAATATCCGAAATTAAAACAATCCAGCGTAAACTAACTTAATGAAAACTAAAGTAAATTTATGTAAGTTGAGGTAACCTTCTTTGACATATTGTAACTGAACGTAATATAATGTAACAGTGTAACTTGATCTATTGTAACTTGATGCAACACAAGTTTACATTCGTGTTATTTTACGCAGATATTTAAACCTGGTAAAATATATTGTAACGCATCGCAGCCTTGTATAAAATAACCGAGCGTCATTTAATCTAAGGCAGGCAACAAGATCATTAATACAGGTGTGATGGGATTGTGAACTTACCTGCTTCTCTGATGTACTAGTAATTGTACCTGTATAATTGTTTCTAGTTTGATAAGATAATGACAAATTTAATCTTAACTCCCTCCACCTCTACAGCACGCACCTGTGGGTGGTGATGTCGGGGATGTACGGGAAGTTGGTGGTGTTGCTCATGCTCGCCTTCTGCCTCACCGAGGTTCTTGACAACAGGGTCCTCCCCTTCACCTTCCAGGTATTTGCCACCTGATGTTGGTTATCTCCAGTAGGTAGGTAATATTCTCTCACCTCTAAACAGATAATATTAAGACTAAAAACATGTGCCGGTGTTTTGAACAACAACAACAACTTTCCATTGTTTCAGCCCTACACAACTGCTCACCAGGACTTGGCCTTCCTCCTCTACTATTGTTTTATAATGAAACAATTTTATGTAGTTATATGATGTAATAAACCTGGTATTGGTAATATCAACAATATATGTATACATGCATAAAATAAATGAGCGTATAGAAGACATGGTAGGGGAGCAGTCTACTATCTCAGATACAATTGTATTTACCTGCAGGGAGTCTTCCCCATATTATTGTTTACCTGTAGGGAGTCTCCTTCATGTACTTATAGTATTGTTTACCTGCAGGGAGTCTTCCTCATGTACCTGTATGTGGGGTCCATCGTGGCCATTATGTGCATCTATGTGTCGGTCATCATCGACAACTGTCCGTCCATCACCGCCAGCAAGGAGAACCTCACCAAGCACGAGGATCCAGAGGTCGGCTCCATCACCTCCTTCGGCACTCTCAAGAGAGCACACATCTCTCGATCGAAAACCTCCAGGACCTCCTTCTACCTCAGAGTTGGTGCCCTAGGTGAGCTCCACACGTTCAGGGTTGTAGGTGGGAGTGTCCTAGTTAAATCTTAGCTCTGGCATGCGGTGCAAGTACTGTAGGCTATGAAAGGGAAGGGTGGGGAGGCGGTATCGGCTAGTTTTACTTCTAATCTAGATAATACAGTATAGTTTCGTAGATTTGTACTCTACGAAAGGCAAAGGCGTCTGAAAAACAGTTGTAGTTTACAAATGGTCGTTTAATATTACAAGAGGGCTATATAGATCACAACATATTTGAACAAAACTGTTTAATGCATTTTTGTGGATAATTAAAGCTTGTTAGTATCTATGATGTAATGTAATCGTTTGAAGATTAAAGTCACAGTAGCAGTTAGTGGTCAATGTGGTTCCTTTCAGTTTATCTTACAAAAGTTAGCAGCAGTCGAAACAACGCCAAGGGCCCTCGTGACGGTCGCTAGTCACTGAGACATGTAATGATAACTTATTTACTGGTGTACTGTAAGTATTATCTGTATCTCCATCAAAGAAAACCTTTGTCCTGCCCCGCAGTGTTCGGGCTGGGCACTCTTATCTTCAACGGCCTGGAGATCGCCATGCACTCCACCATGAAGAGCGAATGTGTCAAGGACATCGTGTTCGCCCACCCGATCCTGCAGGCGCTCTTTACTTTCCTCCAGATGCACTTCCTCTTCGTCAACTCGGAGGTGAGCCATGTTTACACTACCCTCTCACCCTGTATAGTAGAGTTCCTCACTCTTCCCCGCTACATACAACTTTCAATCCCATAAATGTTATATATATATTGTCATCTTATATTAGTAAATTAACGTTCTTTCCTATAAGGTGGGAGGTAAGATGTAGGAGTTTAGAGCAGTGTCGTCTGAGGCACTTTTTGTGTGGGTGTTTTCTTGGGTATGTTATTTTGCTCTTTCCTAAAGTGAAAATAACTCAAGAAGTAATGCTGTTGTTTATTTAATTTATATAGAAAAACTCCAAAAGATGTGGTGGGCAGATATACATGATACTGATATAATGTTGTGAATGTATCTTGTAGACTGTGGACTTCATGTATCCTGATGTTGTCCCTTTTATCGTCTCGCCCTCACTACCACACCTGTCATTGTCTCACCTGCCACCTCTCACTCCCCACACTTGTCGTTGTCTCACCTGCCACCCCTCACTACCGTACATGTCATCGTTTCACTTAACACTCCTCACTCCCGCAGGTGATCGTTGAAAAGTTCGGGCAGGTGGCGAGGTTCGGCTTCATGCACCTGGTGGCTACAAACATCGCCATCTGGATCAGGATGGTGGTTTGGGAGTCTGCCACTGTCTGGATTGAGGACACTTATGCCAACAGTAAGTTGTGGAGAAGTTCAGGAGGGATACAGTGAGCTGTGGAGGTGCACACTGAACACTTTACGCTCATATTATGTTGTAGAGGTGTTCTGGAGGGACACGATGAACATTTATGTTCACTGTCAGTTCTGGAAGGACGCAGATAGCAACGATGACAACACCCTTGTCCCAAAGAACTTTTGTTAAAATTGATTTTGTTAACTGGCAGCAGATTACCACACTGACATTATGCACCACATAGCAGATAGAGGGAGAGAGCACACAGCTCTATAACATACTGATGTTCTTCAGAGCCGCTGACGGAGGTCCCAGAACAAGCGGTGCAGGTGCTGCGTCTGTACTCCTGCTTCCAGAATAACACGCTGGGCAGGCTGTGGACCGACGCCCAACCCTACCTCTTCCCCTTCCTGGTGGAGTACAGGTGAGCTGCCCATCCTATACGCCTTGCTGCTTTACCTGTCCCGACGCCTTGTCCCTCCCTAGTCCCTCGCTCTTGTGTCTTCCCCTCTCCCTTACCGTATTCCCGTGCTACTTCTTCCCCTCCCCTCCTCTTCCTCTCTTCCTCCTTCTCTCCCATTTCCATCATAATGGAGAGTAGGAGAACTGATCAGCCTCCTCCCCCTTCCCCTCAGACCTTCTTCCCTTTCCTGGCGGAGTTTTGGTAAGGTGGAGGGACAGTCACATACCGTTTGGTCAGTGTTCTAGTACATTGATTGTTATCGTTACTAATATATCTTGAACTAGACGTTTCAGTATCAATGTTGTCAAATGGGGATTAATTTATTTACAAAGGGATGAAAATTGGCTCAATGTCTTAAAGTTGATGTAAAACGTTTAATTTATATCTGCTAAAATTTCAACTGAATGTTTTATTAATTTATTAGGTGTCCGATATATGTACAGTGCAATTTAATATTAGTTTGAAGTGGAATGAAAATTTAATCAGATACTTTGATATATATTTTGTAAAATAATTTTTGAGAGATTTTAGTTAAAGAATACAAATATTTAAACACATAATCTAGATACAAAGTTATTTTGTAGATTAATGTCAGTAATGTAACAGATGGACATTACTGTTTGACTGGACAGGGCCAGACCGATACGTAGTGTGTTTTTAATGAGACCAACGAAGTGAAACTAAGACTCAACCTCACAACTTTATTGTTTATATAAGGACCTGACTTACCTGGGGTTCTGACCTGACAGGTTTAATCATGTACAGTATTACTTGGACGACTTGGTTATCGACATCGTCTAAGAATCCAAACTTGGATCAAACGTCACTGGGAAGACGGCCTTTCTGTAGACCACTAAAACCTTCAAGTTTGATTTTCATTGTTGTAGTATTTAGCGAAGATCAATAAAAAACACGGATTTATAGATCTAGAAGAGTGTTCATGATATTGAATATTGTAGTGATATATATTGAGATTCATCATGGTAGTCGGTACTCGTCTGCGTGGGAAAAATATTAAGAGTCGCTGTTTCAAAGTTTACAATTTCTCGCTCTGTCTTTTATTGCAACTTTTCATGGTAAGTAACTTTGGGGTTGGGGAAGCACTAAAAGCAGTCTTTTAAGATACAACAAATGAGATACTGAAGTAAAAAATATCGTTTAAAGAGAATTCGGTTTGAAATTTTCTGAGGGTAAGTGTTTCAACATGAGGCTTGGATGACCTACTGGTAAAATGATTCTCACCCAACGACGACAGATACAACAACAGCAACAATAATAATAATAATAATATTAATAATATTAGGAAGAAAAACAAAGAATTGCACTCATTAATTACTGAGAAAGTTATTACATTATATGGATAATATTGTAGGCCGGGTGACTGCGGTCATCAACTGGAGGCAACTAACCAAATTGGTCAGTTATAATCATTTTAACCTGAAGAATGATGATCATTAGTCAGTGGGAAAATAACCAAATTGAACTAATGAATATTGAGACGACAATCTCACAAAATCGGCACGTAATTCATCCACAGGTAACTTGCCCAAGTGAGCTGTGTGTTCCTCAAGTGACGGTTACTCAGTGATCATCGCCAGTTAATAATATATTTATCTCTATTATTTTAACTCAAGTGGTTAATAGTCATGTATAGTAAAACCTAGTTGCTTTTCTTTTTGTTTGCACCAGTGACAATGACTGTTGAAACATATTACCCGAATATCGAGTGATTGTGTCTGCTAACCGAGTTTACCTATGGACCGTCGACGATTGAGACAAGATACACAGACCAGACCAGACAAGACTCGCCTTTCGTTTCTCGAGTCATTTTGCAGATTGTTCAGGCTGGTAGTGTGTCTACCTGACTGGGAGTGGCGGGGAGGTCAGCGAGGCGATGGTGGCGCCATACGGGTTGTAGTGGACGGAGGGAGAACCTCATCTGGTTTTCAAGTCTAGCATGGCTGTAAAGAATGTGCCGGAATAAGTGTTCACGCAGTCGTCACCTATCGTTGACTCGTCTGTATACAGTACTCGTGATTCATTTGTAATTCCCTGCTTTTACTTCCATCCCACTTAAGAATGTAACAAGTAACCAGTAAATAATTTTTCACCTTGGTAGTGTCTCTCTTAGCCGTGCACCAGACGCCATGAGGCTTCACCTACCAAGATTGAGTGAACTTTTAACTTTTCTTTCTATATCTAATCCACTTTTTTGGCTTTCCCCTTCTTCCGTAATAACTGCATTATGTTTTTCTTTGTCCAGTTTTCTAATTTCCACAGTTTATTCCTTCTTTTTATATTTTTATGTAAACATCACTTACACAAATTAGTTGAGCTTGGTAGACGCAGTCAGCAGCCCTGGTAACATACAATTGGTGTTTCAGCCTGATAGCTGCGGCCGTCACGTACATCATGTGGTGTAATGTGGGTAAAGAGAAGCTCAAGAAACTCGGCCAGATTGGCAAGCCGGTCATGGAGGACTCGGCCACTCTGGACAAGAGGGGTGTCAGGAAAGGTTACTGGAAGGTATGTGCCGTAAGATGTTCTCCTTGGTACACTGTCCCCCAGAACACTGTCCCCCAGAACACTGTCCCCCAGAACACTGTCCCCCAGAACACTGTCCCCCAGAACACTGTCCCCCAGAACACTGTCCTCAGAACACTGTACCAAGGACTCTGTCCCCAGGACACTGTCCCCAGGACACTTTCTCCCGAACACTGTCCTCACAACACTGTCCTTAGAACCTTGTCCCCAGAACACTGTTCACACAACACTGTCCATGGAACACTGTTCACACAACACTGTCCATGGAACACTGTTCACACAACACTGTCCATGGAACACTGTTCACACAACACTGTCCATGGAACACTGTTCACACAACACTGTCCATGGAACACTGTTCACACAACACTGTCCATAGAACACTGTTCACACAACACTGTCCATGGAACACTGTTCACACAACACTGTCCATGGAACACTGTTCACACAACACTGTCCAAAGAACACTGTTCACACAACACTGTTCATAGAACACTGTTCACACAACACTGACCATAGAACACTGTTCACACAACACTGTCCATAGAACACTGTTCACACAACACTATCCATGGAACACTGTTCACACAACACTGTCCAAAGAACACTGTTCCACTGGAACACTGTTCACACAACACTGTCCAAAGAACACTGTTCACACAACACTGTTCATAGAACACTGTTCACACAACACTGACCATAGAACACTGTTCACACAACACTGTCCATAGAACACTGTTCACACAACACTATCAACAATGTCCATAGAACACTGTTCACACAACACTGTCCATGGAACACTTCACACAACACTGTTCATAGAACACTGTTCGCACAACACTGTCCATGGAACACTTCACACAACACTGTTCATAGAACACTGTTCGCACAACACTGTCCATAGAACACTGTTCACACAACACTATCCATGGAACACTGTTCACAAAACACTGTCCATAGAACACTGTTCACACAACACTGTCCATAGAACACTGTTCACACAACACTGTCCATGGAACACTTCACACAACACTGTTCACACAACACTGTCCATAGAACACTGTTCACACAACATTGTTCGCACACTGTCCATGGAACACTTCACACAACACTGTTCATAGCACTGTTCGCACAACACTGTCCATAGAACACTGTTCACACAGCACTATCCATGGAACACTGTTCACAAAACCTGTCCATAGAACACTGTTCACACAACACTGTCCATAGAACACTGTTCACACAACACTGTCCATGGAAAACTTCACACAACACTGTTCACACAACACTGTCCATAGAACACTGTTACAACACTGTCCAAAGAACACTGTTCACACAACACTGTTCATAGAACACTGTTCACACAACACTGACCATAGAACACTGTTCCAACACTGTCCATAGAACACTGTTCACACAACACTATCCATGGAACACTGTTCACAAAACACTGTCCATAGAACACTGTTCACACAACACTGTCCATAGAACGCTGTTCACACAACACTGTTCATGTAACACTTCACAACACTGTTCACCAACACCGTCCATAGAACACTTTCACACAACACTGTCCATGGAACACTGTTCACACAACACTGTTCATAGAACACTGTTTCACAACACTGACCATAGAACACTGTTCACACAACAATGTCCATAGAACACTGTTCACACAACACTGTCCATGGAACACTACACAACACTGTTCATAGAACACTGTTCACACAACACTGTCCATGGAACACTTCCCACATCACTGTTCATAGAACACTGTTCGCACAACACTGTCCATAGAACACTGTTCACACAACACTATCCATGGAACACTGTTCACAAAACACTGTCCATAGAACACTGTTCACACAACACTGTCCATAGAACACTGTTCACACAACACTGTCCATGGAACACTTCACACAACACTGTTCACGCAACACTGTCCATAGAACACTGTTCACACAACATTGTCCAAAGAACACTGTCATTGCAATACTAATTTTTCGAGAAATATATGAAGGGATGAACAGCGATGCGAATACAGAGTAATATTGGTATAAAGTTACAATACAGAGTAATATTGGTATAAAGTTACAATGTTGACATACATTGGTATAAAGTTGCAATATAGACTTACAGAGTAATATTGGTATAAAGTTACAATGTTGACATACATTGGTATAAAGTTACAATACAGAGTAATATTGGTATAAAGTTACAATACAGAGTAATATTGGTATAAAGTTACAATGTTGACATACATTGGTATAAAGTTGCAATATAGACTTACAGAGTAATATTGGTATAAAGTTACAATACAAAGTAATATTGGTATAAAGTTACAGTACAGACATGCAGAGTAATATTGGTATAAAGTTACAATATAGACATACAGAGTAATACTTGTATGAAGTTACAATACAGAGTAATATTGGCATAAAGTTACAATATAGATATATATGTATAAATGTCAGGTAAAGTTATGGATGACTGGATGATAAATGAAAAAGGAAATATATATGTGTTTATGGTTTGAGAAAACGTTGAGTGGATCGCTACTCGGAATTAGAAGCATAATTATGTAAAATTTATGCGAAAAAGGTGACGCCCATCTTGTTTGTGCCAGGTTGACTGCAGGTCTGCCTCCAAGGGGCTGTTTTTGGGCCTCCTCTGTCTGGTGGGTGGCGTCGTCATCCTCATCATCTTCTTCGTCATGAAGGACCAAAACGAGTTTAAAACAAAGATGTTCTGGATCTGCAATGGCACCCAGATGATCATTCTCTCGCTCTCAATCATCGGTACCATCATTGGATTCTTACAAATCCCCAAACTCTCCGTGTCTACCTCCAAGCCGCTGGATCTGGACCGCCTTCTGCTCTCCTCAACTATCATCGGTGTGTATATCTTCGCCGTCTTCGGGATGATCGTAGGAGGCATCAATTACACCGAATCAGAGTACCTGGCCACTTTCTGTGTCCACGCCTTGTTGCTACTGCAGGTAAGTCATGGCTCAGGACGTTGTAAAGCACACATCGTTAATATCTTTGAAATTCGTGGTACTAACACGCAGTGATTAACATTAGTGTTAAATGTTATACAAGTACTGTTATTTGTCTCCGATATGGAACCTGAAAAAAACTAAGTAATTATCCAATTAGTTACGGGTATTCGACAAACTTCGCAATGAGTGTATCTGTATGCTAATTATGATATAAAATAAATTTTAAGCCAGATTTTTTAACTGATATGTTATCAGTTCACCTGATGCATCATCGTCTTCTCATTATCTATTACAGGTATCGCTGCAGGATATGCTGGTGGCTGAGGCGAGTCGTCGCACCTGCACCTCCCGGTACCAGATGTTGACTAAGCCGGGCCGGCAGGTTATCACCTTCCTATTGTTTGCCAACATCACCTTGTGGATCCTAGACACGTTCATGACGCATACCAGCGTCTCACAACAGTTTCAGTTCGGGTTTTACGGAGTGCTGGCGTGGGGTATCATCTCCCGCATATCCCTACCTCTCCTAATCCTTTATCGTTTCCACTCTGCCGTTATCCTAGTGGAGATCTGGAAGAACACTTACAGGACCAAGGCTGACTAGGATGCGACACCTACAGCCAGCCTAGAACTAAGCGGCCAGGCCCATCTTAACCATAAAGCACGAAATATTAATCGTCGTGTTGTAAAATCCCCTTTTCACAGAACACGCATTCATTCTATTCCTCAGATGATACATTCCGAATCTTATAGTTCTGCTTCTCAGTCAGCTATTCCCGACACACTTCGTTCACACCATTTTCTCTCCAAGCCTGTCTCCCTCGGCGTTCCTCTTCCACTTCTCATTTCCCCTCATCGCCCAGCTAACAGCCCCTTCTCACCTTTTTCCTCAGAGTCTTCTTCAGCTACCTCTCAGATTTCTGCCTCCGTCCCTGTTCGGACTCGAGTAATAAGGTTTACCTCTGACTCTGTGACTCCAACACGACTTCATGACCAATTTGACCTGTACAACTTTTCTCAGGACTCGCTTGTACAGTCTAGTGTACAGAAAATGACAAATATCAACAATCATGACACACCACACATGACACTTGTCTCTCCAGCTGCTGGTAATAATGAAAAGAAAGACAGAGTGAAGCGTAGAGATGTTAAGCTCAGGAGACTCCTGTTTGGGAATAACCAAACACTACAAAGACAACGTAGCTTAGTAATAAAGGAACTGATGGTGGGTCATGGCCATCAGGGGTGCCTCATGACCTCAAAATCCATTCAGACTGAACTTAAGAAACTGCTGCATAAGACCACGAAACTTGAGTCTAAGGACAGACATAGGAAAGCACCCTCAATTGAGAAAATTCGTAGGTGGGTGACAAAGCACCGGCGTAGAAGTGCTCACTTAGAATGTATCTCAGACTCATGCACAGTTAGTGACGTGTGGAGCCGCGGTGATGCGGCCAGCCGGGATTTGGTATGTAACCCGGGGAATCTACACCATACCGGGTTGAGTAGCGACTCTTACCTGACACCTATACCTCTGACTCCGACTCGACTTGCTCCTCGACACCCTAGACACTGGACCCCTCTCAGACGATCACAATCTGGACGAAGCAGCCGAGGGAGGCCTAGCAGGTTAGATGAAAACATTGAAGATGAAATATCACCAAATCGAATAAGATTTAGACACAGTGGAAGGCGGCGGCACTTAAGCAGAGACAGAGCTCAAAATTTTAGTGACGGGATGTCGTGCCCTTCAGATCCCAACTCTATAGTACGGAGGTCTGTTAGAATGAGTCAACGGGAAAAATGCTCTCTAATTAGTCGAGACAGACCCAATCAGACAAGTTGCAAAATCAATCCTGGTTTTTCCTTTTACCATAAGCGTCCGGGAGAGGGTAGGTTAAAGAGACGACATAGTGAACGACAACGTCAAACGTTGCCCCCAGAATGCAACTCCTATTCCAGCAAGTGTAGATCGTCGTCTTTGTCACCTCCGAGAAGTACATTCGAGTTAGAGAGTGGTCGAGCTTCCCGCTACGAGTCACCACGCCCTGAGTCTCGGCTGGAGCGGGTACGACGGGCATGGCAGGATGACGATGATTACACACTCAATCCCTTCGACCCTTGGCGTCTTCGTTACCAACCAACAGGCATCTCACCCTCTCCGCCACCCCTTAGACACTCGCCTGACAGAACTGCAGATGATTTTAGGGATTTTCGAAGTAGGCAAGCGCCTGGACATGACCGATATGGTACATATTTTGTTGATCAAAAACCCATAAGGCAAAGAATTCGAAACTTCTGGAGAATGGAGACACACACACCATTACCTCCCCAAACTCGTCGAAAAATGGACAGAGAGACGCGGTCCTCTGCTCCAAGACATCATCAGTATAATGACCTTGAATCTCCCCCGCTGACCCCAACACCAAGGTTCGCTCACCTCTTCCCTCACCCTGCCGACGTGTTCTTTCGTTCACATCCAGATGATCCTTTTTCCCGCCCTCACCTGTCAGGGCCGTTAGACCCCTCCCACTCAGAGGCCTCGCCCCTCGTCCTGGGCTGGCTGCAGGTGCCCCCAAACGGTGGTAAGCCCACAAACAACACCACCTTCCGCAAGGCACCGTGGCTCCACAATCTGCACTTCCTAAGAAGGTAACTCCTAATTTGTATATATGACCTGTACTCTAGTGTCACGTTGATTTCCACTCCTGGTGAGAATGCTCCTCTCCCATCCCTTACTCCCATAAACCATAGTGGGAAAAGGGAAACCCTTCCCTTCCCTCCCACCTTGGTACACACTCTGGGCAGACATTCATCTCACCAGTCTAGGCAACACGTTGTTACTGTTTGTATACAAATGTCCAGCGTTATGCTTTATGCAGCGCCGACTGTTGATTGGCAACTGTTTTACTGTAATTGTTTGACTATAATTGTTATCTATATGTAAGATAAAGCCATAGGGAATTTGTTACGTACAGCTGCCCATACAACAAAGAATCATGCATACCATGATGAGCATTATACCATAATTTTCATGGTGCCTAGATGTACACATTGTTAGATATATAAGATTATAAAGGCTTCATTTGTGAAAAATATTTTAAGGTTTTGTATGTATGTGTGTCTGCCATATTGAAAGCGTCCAGCATTTTTATAATTGTATACTGTAGATATTACGTCCACAAACCAAATTTTGTTAATTTTTCTTTGTATTGGATAGTAAGAGGTATTGGTTGACTTTTATAATGTATATTTTTATGTTGTTTGTAAGGTATACGGGCCTAATATGTACATAGGCTACTTATTTATTGCTTTATTGAAATAAATAGTATTATACCATGTGCATTTTTATTGTCTTTTATTGTTTGATGTCACATTTACTCTGAAAACATTACGAACATATATAAAAGACTATTTATCCAAAATTTCTGAAAATTTCCCACACCCCTAATTCTAAAAACTTTCCAATAATTTATGTAAGTTTTTCGAAAATCTCTCAAAATTATCCCAAACTTAAAAGACCTAAAAAAAATTGCAAAAATTCAAATACAAATTTCAAGTATTAAAAAAAATCCTACAAATATTCCCTCAAAATTAAATTTTTCCCCCAAATTTGCCAAAATATTAAAAACTGCCAAAAAAACCTCATTATTCCTAAAATTTCTTAACCACGAAAAATATTGTCCAAAATTCTCAAAACTTTAAATTATCAAAATGAACAGAAATCTTAAAAAAATATATCCCAAAATCAGAGAATTACAAAAATATTGAAAATTATTTAAAAAATAAAAAAAATTGAAAAAAAGCAAAAATATTCAGAATTTTTTTTAAATTTTCAGAAATGTTCAGAAATATTTTCAAAATGTAAGGTATTTTTAATAGATTAAAAAAGTATAGAAATTTTCAGACAAAATTATTAATTTTTTTTATAATTTATGAAAACAACATTTTATTAGATAATTTTTAAAAAGTTTATATATTTTATAGAATATTTTCAAATTATTTTGTTGACATTACACGTTATATCTGAAAAATCAGATATTGCATTTTTAGGTGTATATATGTAGGTGAACAATTTCAGTCGTGAAATGGTATACATGTTCATGTATTGAAGGCTAGAGGTACAGTATGGTGTCACTCTGTGTACGTACACAAGGTTGACATATCCATTACGCTGAAGTTTATGACATTTTTATCTTTCGCTCTACGTGTTACATGAAGGCTACTTTAAATGTCTATGTAAATGCAGGTTACAGCCTCGTATACCCGAGAGAGTTTATACATACCAATGCTGTTTGGCAATCACGATTATTTTGTTGGTGACTAAAAAATATTTACATGTGTGGAGAAACCGTGAATTAGAGCAAAGAAAAATATGACTTGACTGTTACACCTGCAAGCTTTTATTAGCTTGTAGGTGTTTCTCTAGAACTAAACATTGTTATATGTGCTAAGATACCTCGACAACAAAAACGACCCCAGCGAGGAAAAAGACCCGAAGGAAAACCACGAGGGGTCCTGCATGTGTGTGACGGTGAGGGGCTATAATGCTCTTGTCAGGCTCTGAGGTCTCGTCTACCACCTGCTGTCCCTGCCAGCTGCTGTGCCAAGTGCTCGCGCTGACGCCATGGCTTCTCCGGCAGGTTTGACTCAAACTGTCATCACTCCACTTTTTCATACAGGCCAGCCTGGGTAACTCTATTTATAACAAGGACTGACGTGGCTATATACTCACAATACTCTATTTCTAAATAATGACTACGCAGCAGTTTCCTGTGTCAGTGATACTGCCACATTCTCGAACTTCACATTTTCTTACGTATAATCTTTTTTCCATTCATTTTCCCATTACCTCATTCTAACATCACTTACTGTCTGGGCAAAGAACCTTCTGTCAGAGCAAGTAACACGTTACGGTCAGCTCATAAAACATGCATATAATTTAGCGTACAGTTCACTTCAACCCTATAGAGAAAAATAGGACAATGGATATCCCAATAACCGCTAAACAATTAAAAGACTAAACAAAATATAAGTCACACATTCTTCACAGGGTGACCCACTAGACGGCAGAACTGTCGCCGAAAGACTCTGTCGAACGATATGTGTTTGTCAGGGCTGATTACAAGTCATTATTCATACAAGTGGATCAGGACAGAATGTGAGCCTATCTTAAGGGTTTCAACCCAATGGATATGAATAGCCGGCTCTTAAAGTAACCACGGAGCTATGTTTGAATGTTTGCTTCGATTTTTGTTCACTGTGCAATGAGCTGCTATGTAGTTGCAATAATTCACCGGATGATGTAGTTTGCCGTTAGAACAATTAAGCCTCCTTATTAAAGGTAGGTGCTATATAAAAGGAAATATCACGCACAAGTCACTATTAACGACCTGTAGACAAAAGAATTGTGCCATGAAGGCATCGCTCCTTATGACTTACTTCAATAATGGCCATGAGGCAACGGTCGAGCTGGGGTTGGTATGGGGCGTCATGAGGATCAAGACTGCTTGACCTTCCAGGAAGGCAGACGTTCCTCCCTGGCCAGGTAGAGGCGGGTGGTGCCATCTGCCTCGGTGAAGTGTTCCAAGATCATATTTGACAGGTACCGTCGAGCTGCCATGTTTGCTGTACTGTGGCAGATTATATTTGTGTCATTAAAAACGTAAAGGAAACAATTATAAATATGGTAACAGTTAATATTATTGCGTATCACTGA